ATATAATGACAACAAGAAATTAAATAATATGTTTCTTGCAATAGACCCATGTGCATATATACGTGCAAACCCACCTAAGCTGTCTTGCAACATAATATGAACACACATTTAGATAATGCCCCTATAATGCAGCACACACGATCAGTCGATCACCTTGCCATGAAACTTACTGTTGCGGCCCCGTCAGCAGCCGCTGGTTTTCGGAGTCGTGGGGGTCGCCCTGCCCTGCGGCTCGGCTGTTGGAGGTCAGCCGGCGCTCTCCACCTCGGATGGTGGGCGTATCCGGGGTAGTCGCTTCCTTGGTCGCGCGGTGGGCCCAATGCTTGACAGGGATCGATCCCCGGGACCTGCTGTCGGCGAGAGGTGGCGGCGCAGCGCGGTGGTGGTTCGCTGGCTCGCGGGAGGCCAGAGAGTGGGCCAAAGATGTTACACGGATTCACAACATGCGCGCGCACATATCGCATGCGCGATGCCCGATCGCGGGTCCATCGCTGTCACATCAAGACAAGACAAGTCAAGTGCACGTCCAGGCACATCGTCACCGTCCACCGTTCACCTACGATCGACCCATTGTCCTCTAATTCCAAGCGTCTAACACCCGACCCCCTGGCCCTAAGTACTACGACTTCAGGAGGCCATATCTTTGCCGTTTCTTAACGGAATCGGGCGTTTAAAAGCTCGTTGGAACCAGGAAGCTCTTAATAACGTCCCCAAAAGGTACATTTACCCAATTACGTAATTCTCGCTCAAAAAACGCCAATAACTGCCAAACCCCAAGCAGCCACGTCACACTTACCTCAAGGCCGTGGATTGGTTGGTCATCCTTTGTTGTCCAAAGCAACGATCCACCACCATTTGAAGGCCACGGCGTAGCCAACGCAACCCCCGTTTGCATAGCATGCACCATGCGCAGCCCTGTTGCCTGCACACAACACTAGTATTGCTACAAGTTGAAGAGGGTAGGGTTAGGAAAGGTAGCACTGCTGTTGCGGGGCTCTTTTAATGGCCTCCGCTGGTCCCTTTTCTCCGGCGCGCGTCCCACTTCATCCGCCTGCACCCGGTCGGGCCGATGGCCCCTCCGCCGAACCCGGCGGGCGTAATCAGGGTGCTCGCTCGTTCTTTATGCGGTGGGCCCTCTTGCGCTCTGGGATCGGGCGGTCCTGCCGTTCGAAGACGGCGGGTAGCGAGGCAGCTTGCTCCCCGGGCTGCGAGGCCCGTGCGGAGCGCGGCAGTGAGCCAAACGGGTAACAGAGCGGGAAGCAACGCACCCCCGCGTACGTACTGGTGGTCGGCCACATTCTGGCCTGACCACCCGTCACACAGACACTACAATGTACATGAGCGTGTCACGACTGTATCGCCCGGCATACCCCCGTATCGGACCCACTATCGATACACCGCAGCCCAGTCTGCCCCCACGGCCTGTCCCTTAAGTACAGGGACTTTCCGAGGCCATACA